GGCTAGAGAAAAAGCTAAATAACCTTCAAAAAGAACTTCTAAACTCAGCTACCAGGCTTAGGAGTACTTTCAAATGAACTATGACAGTATATGAGAATTAGGAAAGCTCAGAGCCGCACCTCTCAGTGGCAGTGTAGCTAGGGGTATAGTGCTTGTCTAGCATGTGTGAGGCCCTGGTTTCCATCCCCAGCAGTGCAAAAAGAAAAGAAATATTTGTGCCTTTAAGTCTGATTTTATGCATAAAGAATGTCATATATTTCCTACATTTTTATATAAACATAATGTGATTACCTGGATGAGGGGCCTGATACCCACACCTGCGGCATTCACCTGACCAGCCTCTGTATCCTCCACCCTCGTAGATAATTCTCAAAAAAAGGAAATGCATCTAATTTGGATTGATTGATTGATTGATTGATTGATTGATTTTTGGTGGAACCAGGGATTGATCTCAGGCCCTTGCACTTGCCAGGGAAGCACTTATTCCACTGAGTCATCTCCCCAGCCCCTTGGAATGATTTAATTTTGATGAGCTGATATTCCCTAATGTTTAATAATTTCCTCTTCAAAGTACTCAGATTTTAATAACTTCTCCTGAATTGGGACTAGAGATTTACATTGACAGTAAAAAAGCAGCCAGGTGTAGTAGCACATGCCCAGCACTCACGAGGCTGAGGGAGGAGGATCGCTGCAAGTTCAAGACCAGTCTGGGCTATGTAGTTCAAAGCTGGCCTGAGGTACATAGCAAGACCTGTTTTTAAAAAAGACCACCAATAGTAAAAAAGAAAAGAAAACATTTTCTCATGTTTGACCCAACAATAGTGGTTGTCAAACTTGTTTTGTAGAGAGCCAGACAGCAAATTTTCCAGTGAGACCCAACTTTGTCAGTGGTTACAGGATCAGGGGAAGAATGCTGCTTAGCTGTTGTCACTGTGGAATGCTTAGTTTTTTGTTTTATTTCTTTGAGACTCTGATAGAACCCAGGACCTCGTACATGCTACGCATCCACTCTAACATTGAGCTATACCTCTGCCTATTAATATATTTTTTTAAACAAAGGACCTTAGTTTTTCATATTGTGCCCCACATGATGTAGCCAGTCTTGATTTTAGGCTTTGCAGTCCAAGTGGTCTCTGAGGCATCACCTCGGCTCAGCTGCCTTAACTCTGAGGCAGTCATAGGTAACAGCCATAAAGGAATATGCGTGTTCCAGTAAACAATGTGTGGACACTGGAACCTGAATTTCATATCATATTCACATGCTATGAGATATTATTCTATAAAAACTTATTCTCTGGCCACTTAAAAATGTAAGTCGTTTTAGCTTATAGGCCATGGAAAAACAGCAGTTTGTAAAACACAGTTTGCTGATCCCTGCCTTAGAGCAAAATGCGGGAAGACTGGCATTTCCTCTAGTCGCAGTGCTGCATGATGGCCCAGAGTCTCGGGAACTTGCCAGGTTTGCTGTGCACAGTTTGTGACATCCCACCGCAGTACTGGGTACAGGAATGGCTGTCATCAGTGGCAGGGGCTGTGCATGTGTACACTGCAAGGCAGAGGACAGAAACATCCCTGTTAGCAGAACAACTCCAGGGAATTTACCTTTTGGTACCAGGAGCTGACCTAACAAATGACAATAGAGATGGAAGTCTGGCTACTCTGTGAAGCCACCACGCCCACCCTCTTCCCATGTCACTTGAGTCTCCAGGATTGTGCCCCTGGATCTACTTTCTTCTGCCAACCAGAAATCAGCAGGGACAGTGTTGAAGGCAGCAGGGAGAAGCACATGGCTGTGCTGAGCATGGTCGAGGACCTCTGGGAGATTGGGGCAGGATCCTAAATTGGAGCCCAGCCTGGGCAACTTAGCACCTTAGTGAGATTAGATCTCAGAAAACAGAAAAAATTTAAAAGGACTGGGAATGTGTGACGGGCTTGGCTCAGTCCCCAGTATAAACACACACACACACACACACACACACACACACACACACACACACACCACACCCCGGCGGCAGCACTCTTCCCATCACCTCTTTGCTAGACTCCATGTTATTCTTCTCGGGATGCAGTTGGTTGGTGGAAACCCTGCCTGAGTCCTGAGCACCAAAGCTCAAGACCACCAGGGCCTCCTTTCTGAAAGGCGTCCTGGATGCTGGGGAGCAGGAGGCAAACTTTCCCTCCGCCTGTCTCTGTCAGTCATCTGAGGTCCACAGACACCTTCCTCGCGCTGGCACGTCTCCCTCGGCCTCAGTCCAACACTTTGTATTGATGAAAGGCCAGGAGGTCCCGCCCACTCACTGCAAGAGCCCAGGCCTATCTCTAGCCACCAGCGAATTCTTCTTTAGTTACACTTTGCGCATTTGCTTCTCCCCAGAGACGAACGACCACGCCTGTGAGTGCTGATGTCTGCATTCATGCCAGATGTGAGTGTGAAACTAAAAGAGCGAAGCCAGCTCCTTAAGGGAGGTTATGATTCCTGAAGGAAACAATGGTGTGGAGGGAGGTGGGTAGCTGGGCCATCGCCAGAGGTCACACTGCTCCCGAGCTCTGCAAGGCCAACCTCTCCTCAAAAGAAGAGAAGAGCTAAGAAGAAGAAAGTCACTGGCAGGTGGGCCCTGCACACCACAGCGCTCTAGTCAGCTCCAAAGAGCTGACTTGTGGTGAAGGTCAAAGCCTCGGGGCAAGCATGGGAAAGGTGGGCCGGCCAGATAGCTCAGCGGATTAAAGTGCTTGTTTAGGTAGATGCAGGGGTCAGAAGTTGATCCCCCGCCTGCCATGTAAATGCACTGAGACAGCAAATGAGACTGGGCATGGTGGCACGTGCCTATAATCCCAGTGCTTGGGAGGCTAAACACAGGAGAATCACTGCAAGTCAGACCAGTGTAGTGAGACCCTGTAGACCCGCACTAAATACAAAAAAAAAAAAACAGATAAAAGTCATTCTCTGGTTTCTTTTCAGATCATATAAATCTTCCGCCTTTTATTAAAAAATAGGAAAGTTTTGCTACCTATGGCTGTCTTAAAATTGGTTACAAACTGGGCTGGGGGCTCTTCACAATACAAAATCCTAAGCAAAGGATTTTACTACCTAGTTAGAAAAGTATAACTAGGGGCCAGGGAGATAGCACAGTAGAATAAGCGCTTGCCTGGCAAGCGCAGGGTCCTGAGTTCGATACCCGGTCCCGCAAAAAGAAAGAAAAAGTACAATTAATATATTTCTAACCATGTAACGTCAATTCTAGGGAGTGCCTACTGTGCACAGGGTGTTTTTGTTTTTGCAGTGCTGGGGATGGAACACAGGCTTTGAATATGCAAGGCAAGTGGTGTCCCATGAGCTCAGCCCCAGTCTAAGACTTTAGGATCTAAGTCTGGAAAGTGGTGAACACCTTCGCGGGCTTCATGGTGATAAGATGGTCACCACATCTTGGGGCTGGACAGTCTACAGTGTTTCAATTAGAGGAGCTGGAGCATGTGGGAAGCAGTGGGAGGAAACATTTATTACACGGCTGACCAGGTAAAACCTGAACGTCCAGCACAAGCCAAGGAAGCCTTCATTGTACGGTCACCTCACCTTGCATGGCGGGCAGTGGCATGGCCAAAGCAATGAGGGTGTGCCCCGCTTCGCTTCTCTGAGTAACATTATACAGAATGATAAGTCACTGAATTAATGACAAGTGAAATACAGCACACAGGAGTTTCTTCTGAGACGGGGGTGACTTTTGGCTAGTGAAGTAGACGTGAGTGTGTGTGTGTGTGTGTGTGTGTGTGTGTGTGTGTCCTGGGATGGAACCCAGGTCTTCATGCATGATATAGATACACTTAACCATTGAGGTACACATTCAGCCCCCCAAACATTCTTTCTTTTGGTAGTATTGGGGATTACCTGAAGGGTCTTGCACCATTTTGGGCTTTTTAGCTTTTATTGAGATCAGCAATCCTCTGAGATGAGCTTTTCTCCACATACACTGCCATACATCGACCAGTCTGTCCTCTTTATTGCTGAGTAATAGAGCATGTTATGGATATACCACAATCTATTTCACCCTTGGCTTACTAGTGGACATTTGGGCTCATGACATTGTCTCATTTTTGGCTGTTACAAATAGAACTGTGATGAACTTTTGTGTGTAGGTTTTTATGTAAGCGTAAGTTTTCATTCCTCTGAAATAAATGTGCAAGAGTAGAACTACTGAATTCATTTCAAGTATATATTTAATTTTTGAAAAAACTCCTGGGGCTGGGAGTATAGCTCAGTGGCAGAGCACATGTAAAGCCCACATCCAGTCCCAGAATTGCAAGAAAATGAAATAAAGAAAAGAGCCAAACTATTTTCCCAAGAGACTGAACCATTTTACACCTCCCCTGGAACTATGAGAGTGATCCAGTGGCTTTAATTCCTTGCCAGAATCTGCTGGTGTCACTATTTAACTTAGGTCTTCTAACCGATGTGCAGTGACACAACACTGAGGTTTAGAACTCTCATGTAGCTAACAGTTAACTATGAACAGGTTTCTTACATGCCTATTTGTCATTCATGTGTCTGCTTTAGTAAGCTGTCTTTTCATATCTTTTGCTCATTTTCTTTTTCTTTTTTTAATTTATTTATTTTATTCATTTATTTGTGTGTGTGTGTGTGTGTGTGTGTGTGTG